GGGAGTACATGAAACAGCAGAATTCCATTCAAGGGCTCCAGATCATCTAGAACCACATATCCTGCGGGATGAAGTAGAGAAAGTTATCAAAACAAGTAAAAGACACAAAGCAGCTGGTATCGACGGAATAACAACAGAAGTCATCCAGGCTGGAGGGGACACTATGATCACCTGGCTGGAGAGAATTTTCAATAGAGCATGGGCAGAGAGAAAGGTACCAGTGGATTGGCAAAGATCAGTTGTAGTACCTATCTGGAAGAAAAAAGGAAACAAGAGAGAATGTGGAACTTATAGAGGAATATCTTTACTAAGTCATGTGGGGAAAATGTATGCAAAGATCTTAGAAGGTAGGACAAGAGCAAAGGTTGAACCTTTACTGAGTAAAGCACAATTCGGTTTCAGGAAAGGGCGAGGTTGCACTGATGCCATATTTGCACTAAGACAAGTCTGTGAAAAGACACTCGAATACGATAAAGAGCTGAACGTGGTCTTTGTAGATCAAGAGAAGGCATTCGACCGTGTAGACAGAGATGTGCTGTGGAGAATTCTTGACGATTACGGAGTGCAGGGTCAATTATTAGACAACATCAGAGCCCTCTATGAAAAAAGTGAAAGTGCAGTAAGAACATCTAGTGGTCTTTCTGAATGGTTCAAAGTCACAACTGGTGTCAGACAAGGATGTGTACTGTCACCATTACTTTTCATAACATACATGGATAAGATCACTGTAGAAGCAAACCCAGACGTGTATGCTATAAACGAATTACTTTTTGCTGATGATCAAAGCATACTGTATCAAAATGAATATGATCTACAGGAACATCTGACTACTCTCAACAACAGCTGTTTACAACATAATATGAGAATCAGTACAGAAAAAACAGAAGTTATGAAGATCAGCAGAACACACAGGCCACTGAATATAAATGTTGGAAGTGCCAAAATCAAGCAAACCAAAGAGTTCAAATACTTGGGCAGTATATTTACAGAGGATGGAAGAATGGACAGAGAGATAGAAACAAGAATACAGAAAGCAAATGCTGTCACATACCAACTATCACCTCTGCTTAAACATCCAGATATAACCATGAAGACCAAAAGACAATTGATAAACACCATCTTCATTCCAACACTCTGCTACCAGTGCCAGACATGGACAATCAACAAGACCCATGAAAGAAAAATAGAAGCCTGTGAAATGAAATGTCTAAGAAAAGCAGCGAATAAGACAAGACTAGACAGGATAAAGAATATAGACATTAGAAACACTGTCAAAACTACACCATGTTTAGACTACATAGAACATCAAAGAATGAAATGGTTTGGACATCTAACCAGGATGAAAAATGATCAAATAACATCACAAATTTTCAATCAAAGAAGCTCAGGATATAAGGCAAGAGGAAGACCAAGGAAACGGTGGATTGACGGGGTCTCCGAAACCTGCCAAAAGCATGGCCTCAGAACATCAGATGCTGCCCGCCTTGCTTATGACAGGAACTTGCATCTCCCCACAACGCTTAGCGGCATACGTGGAAGGAAAAAGTAAAGTATTTAGAATAAATAGTTTTGTCTTTAGATAGTAGTAATCTCAGCCTTATCCTTCCAATGATTACAAATTATCCTTGCCTTGCAGTCATCATTGATTATTCTTGCAGTCACAATATATTGTTCTTGCAGTCACAATAGATTGTTCTTGCAGTCACAATAGATTGTTCTTGCAGTCATCACAGATTATGTCTACATTTTCCACAGGACCCATGACAATACTGTAGTAGAGTGCTTAGGGTAGGAAACAGGCTGAAAAATCATAACTTATGCAAGTTTTGCTTATGGTTAAGATACTTGAATATAGTCAAATCTTTATGAAGTTTTGCAAGGGCCTTCCTTATCTATCACATAAACAATAAATCACAGAGAAATAAACTTACATACATTAGTTTCATACTTATTTCCATCTGATGAGGGGGACATATTTTGGTGATGAGTAAATTGGTTGCAGTAGCGATGTCAGTACTGCTAAAAGAAACTAATGAATGCTGCTAAAAGTTTGTGTAGCTGCTCAGATATAGTGAGGCTATAATCTGAACCTCTGTCAACTCTGCATCTAAGTTATATTTTCCTATGTTGATGTCCACAATTTTACAATAGTTTCATAAAATCATAACTCAAGTAAAAGAAGGAGAGCTGGGCATCTTGTCTGTGTATGCCATTACCCGTACAGATCCAAGCCTAACACTGGACACTCCTATAGCACAAACACTAATGAGATGACCTTTACTTTCATAACATTTAGCAGAACTACTCATGTATATAACATGGGATACTACAGACTGTTGCTCGGAGGAAGAAAATCAGGAGGAGAATAGGGACAAAGAAGAAGGTGTTTGCAGAAATGGTTGAGAGATGAGCATCTGAGAAGAATCACATTAAACAAAGGTGATAACAACAATTTTCCTGAAATCCCTTTGCTCTTATTGTGGAAGAATTTTCTTAACATGAATGAGTCTTGCTAGTCACAATCAAGGTCACCGTGTTTTGTGATTTCCTGACCTCATTTTAGCACAGTATAGCATTATCATCCAGAAAAACGGAAAGCTGCCAGCAGCATGTACACTGTTAAATAATTTGTTCATTTATTTGCAAAACAGACTTGAACAATTTCCCTGACAGACACCACCTATGTTACCAATGTTAGAATGAAGACAAATATACTAACAAAACAAGAGTAGGCACTGTTCAGGATAAACATTTAGAAAGAAAGCCAACTTTAATCATTATTTCATGTTAATATCTGTGGTATTTTTTTTTAAACATAAATGTTCCCAATACATGATACAATTGGTTTTATATTCATTTATTCACTGTCCTGTTGTGTCATTATATGTCACGTAAGGCTCACAGTCAGTTCCTCCATTTCGTTTTGTCCTGCGAAATCATTTCGATATCATGGATGGACCAACAAAGCCTGGCATATGATATTACAACATCTCGTTTGAGAATGGAGTGTAGGTAGTCACTGATGTCTTCTGCTGGCTTGAGAATCAGCTGTACACACATGCCGTCATTGTAACTGACTCACAGAGCATGTTGAGAAAGGTGGAGACAGGCATGCTCTGTGCAGAGTGGCAAGCATCACTTCAAATGTCCTGGGTAGTTAGCATCCTTTGGATATTTTCTCCAGGTAATGCGGGTGTGTTGGGAAATTAGCAGGCAGACAGACTGGCCGGCTGTGCACCACTTGATGGTGAACTGATGTATGACAAGCTGGATGTTGTGAGTGCCTTTTGGGAGCAAGTGAACAGTGCTGAGGCACAGATAAATCATTACAGTCTGAGGAGAATGGCACTGCAAGGAGTTACAAGGGGATCTGACCGGCGCTCGACACTCAGGGGAAAGGCGAGACCGATATACAGTCAGAAAGTTACTGGTACCATCGGAATGTTAACTCTCCACTTGCTGCTGAAGATTTGGGTGGAGCGCTTATGGTGTGTCCTGAGTGCTGTGATGTTGATTCTTAATTCAACATTCAACATATCATGGATGGAATCCAGTCAGGCATCTCTGGCTCTTTTTATAAAAGTTTGCCTAAGGATTTCTCTTGGACATCCCTGTTTCTGCAATCTCTCTATCTCCCATTTATGTTGCACAGGTTTAATTGATATGTTTAGTAATAGTGAGAACACAGTCAGAAAGTCTAGTGTCATCCTTAAAGTGTGGCCAAGTTGTATGTTCGATGTTCTGTTTGTATCATTTTTTACTTGGATGATTTTATTTGTTCACATTTAGTTGGCTTTCACTTATAGAGTTTTTTAATGGGACACAAACACAACCCCTTCCTCAGTCAGCACTTACGGCAGAGAATAGAAACTGATGTATTACATTCAGAGAAGCTTGCATCACTTAATAAGACTCAAATAAGAAGCACATGGACATTCCTGGACATTCAAATAAACATTTAAATGAGCATTAAGTTGAGTTGAGTCAAGAATTTACATCACAGCACTCGGAGAATTCCCATGTGTGCTCTGTCCTCATCTTCAGCAGCTAGCGCAGAGTTCCAATACTGATGGTGCCCGTCACAATCTGGTTATATGTCCATCTTGCCTTTCCTCTGAGTGTAGTGAGCCAGCCAGACCCTCTGGTTACACCCAGGTGCTTAAATGAGCGTGCTGATAGATTAGTTACTGCCGCCTCTCTGAGACATGGTGAAGGCTGTCTGAGATCAAGTAAACAGGGCAGCACAACAGGCAAACCCTCCATAGCTGGAGAGAATTATTCAGTTGGTAGTGAGCAGAGGGACAGGAAAATTTATTTTGTTACCCGCAAGGGAAAAAAAAAAGTAAAATTCTCATCACATTAGAGAATGGAGTGAATCAGTTGGGGAGAACATGGTGGTACAGCTGGATGATTGCTTATGTTCTCTTGGAGGATAAACAGCAAAGGAAGATGAAGAAAAGATATTTTATTGTCTATGTTATGATGATAGCTTTTCTGTGAGGATATATTTCAATATATAATTAATATATTGTCACAATATTATCTGACATTTAAAATTTCTTTTTAAATTAAATGTTTCAAATAAGCCCCCCTCCCCCAAAAAAAACCACACACACGCATGCACACACACACACACAAAGGAAGACATTAAAGTATATCATCATGTTTTAATAACAAAACAATTTTAACAAGCTGTGATAAATAAAACCTTCTGCTAAAATGTTTAGTAGCTTATGGAACATGTACGTGAAACATGGAAACTAATTCAGGAAAACCTAAATTTTTAAAGAAAATATCACTTTGTGAATAATGTCATATTTCCTTAAAAAAATAATACAAATTCATTCTTCAAAGTACATCATTATGAATAAGATTTTTGGTATTAACATTTGTATTTTAGAATCAGCAGATGCCCATTTGTAAGAAAAATTGAAAAATTCCAAATGTTATAGTTTCGCCAAATTTGATTGAAAAACACCGGCTACTCTGGCATCTAGAAATCATGAGCACTTCCACAAGATTATGGCCATATTTCCACCAAAAAACATATACAGAAGGTTCTTCACTTCATGGGTAATCTCGAAACCATAACCTTCACCAATAACAGCATGCCAGGAGGCCCCAAACTTTTTATCCATGGTTTCTTTGATCATCTTTGCTGCACTCTGGCATCAGGAATAGACAGAAAATAACATGTAAGAATCAGTGTCCAGTTTGAAGACTTCCAAGACTCTAGACACCTAAACATGCAACTGTGAAAATTAGTTCATGTTTTGATAATAAAATACCCAAATAAATGATCTATCACTGTCTGCCTCTTGCTGGCTCGCCTTCAGCTTCTCCCTCCAGTACGGCTTTCATAAGAGTTCAAGTTTAAAGTCGAGAAGATCAACTTCATTGCACCAAGTCTGATCCCATATGGCTCGGTCTTTCTCCACAGAATGGCTAGCCACCTGCTGATAGTGTTGCATAAAGCATGAACACCATAGCTCTAGTGACGATCCCCAGCAGCTTCATAAAACTTTCACTCATGAACCAAACGACCAACAATGAAACAAACCCGTGACCTTCTGAAGGTTGAGTCAAATGGCTCGAATGCGTCGCCATGGAGTGTGTTATGTTTTAATATGGCCTACATTTTTTACTTGCCTTTTTTTATTTCCTTCAGCATCTCCTCTTTCATTCGAAGTCTTTTCACAACCTCTGTATTTGATTACTGTTGTTTCAATGAAATGCGACCTATTCTTCGGTATATCTGCATCTCCAGAGACTTAATTTTTTCAGCCCCAAGCAACTCGACACGCATTTTTTGGTTTCTACTTATATGCTTTAATTTCTGTAAACCCCATTTACGCCTGCCAGTTGTTACAAACTAAATCTGTACCTACAGTTACTTTAACCCTTTTTATCACATAATGTTTTGTTTTAATTACTTCAGGTAGAAATATGTTTTCAATAATTTAAGAATTTCTTATGACCAAGTGAGTTAAAATAACATGCTTGGGGACCAAAAAGTTAATACAATCTTCTAATGGCTTGTTCAGACTGATACTGTAGCATATAAAAAATGCTAACAACTGAACTGAATCACTGAACAAAATTTCGCTGTATTAAAAGACATAAAACTTTAAAAAAATTAATATGCACTGAGAGATCGAGGGCAAGAGAGCAAGAGGTAGACAACCATTTCAGTGGAAGGACACCATCAAGAGATGAACGGGCAGCGGTCTGAGAGTGTACAACCAAGACAAGAGACAGCGCATGTTGGAGATCCATTGCAGCCAACATTCACTGTGGAGATGGCACCTGATTGATTGACTGATTAAAATGACAATAAGAATTTCATTCAGGAATGGGATGAAGTATGGTTGTTAGAACTAACTGAAAGATCTATTTGGCTGGTGAGCATGGAACGTAAAGACAATATATAAGTCTGATGTTAACAACATAATTATATCAGTCATTTTTAAGAAAATTATCCTTGGGAAACTTATTTTTTAATTATTTGTATTTAAATAAATTATGAAAGCAACACAGCTAACAAGAAAAGTGATGTGAAAAGCATGGAAAAAAAATTAACTTTACCTCATTATTTGCAGCAAATTTTTCACAGGCTGTCACACACAGTTCCATAGCTTCATTCTTCATTTCATCGATCATGTCTGAATGCTGTCGAGTAAATATACAAAGTTAGCCACATTGAAAATATGCAAATGTGATATAATTTGTCGACATCACATGTTGCACAGGCGCTTATTTTTAAATCTAGTTTTGTCTTAAACGGTTGTCCCTTTATTACCAGGGCCAATAACTCTTTCACTCACAGGAAGTTGTTACTTTAAAATGTCTGCCCCACTGTTCTTGCACAGTAGGGCATATTGTGTGTGCGTGTGTGTGGGGAGAAGGGGGAGGGTGTGTGTGTGTGTGAGAGAGAGAGACAAAAGATTTAATGAGTTTTATTTTTTCTCTATTTTACTGCTGTTATTGCAGCCTGAAAGATTGACACCCAGTGACTTTAATAGTCACTGTCCAGATGTGAATTTATAAAACAGTTATACTTCTCATGTGGGCTCTGAGGCCCTTAAAAAGTTATACTTCCCGTGTGGGCTGTGAGGTCCCAAAAAAGTTATACTTCCTTTGTGGGCTATGAGGCCCCAAAAAAGTTATACTTCCCATGTGGGCTCTGAGGCCCTTAAACAGGTATACTTCCCTTGTGGGCTATGAGGCCCCAAAACAGTTATACTTTTCGTGTGGGCTCTGAAGCCCCAATACAGTTATATTTCCCGTGTGGGCTCTGAGGCCCCCAAAAAAGTTATACTTACCGCGTTGGCTCTAAAACCCCAAAACAGTAATACTTCCCGAGTGGGCTCTGATGCCCCATTTAGGGGGGAAAAAGAATAGGCTTACTGCCACCCTGACAAACATATTGTAAAAAGTGACTAATTAGGTGAGTTTTTTTTAAGTCGGAATGCCTCTGTCTAAGAGGCGAGGAACAAAAGGTCTGCATACAAATAAGTCAGATGTGTAAAACGGATGTGCACACAAAACTCAGATTCTGGAACAAGGATAAACTTTCTGCTGGAGTTTAGAGCCAGTGAAAGCTAAAAAAAAAAAAAAAAAAACAAGAAGAAGAAACAGTTATACCTAGTCACCCTTCTCTTGCAAAATAATCAGCTGTCAAATGTATATAGTGAATAAATTATGAATTAAGAACTGACATCATAGCACTTGGGATATTCCTAAAAAAGCTCCATCACCATCTTCAGCAGCAAGCGCAGATTTTCATTTCCAGTAATATCAGTTACAGTCTGATTGTATGTCCCATCTAGCCCTTGCCCTGAGTGTTGAGTATCAGCCAGATCTTCCAGTCAATCCTTGCTGCACCATTTCCTTCAAATGGTGATGATCTTTTAAGATGTTATACTCTAAAGTTTCTTTTCTCCTTCTGCTTTTTTTTTTTTTTTAAGTATCCAGAAACCATGAGTTGTTAACCCTTTTGCTCGGTACTATGGATATCGCAACCCTTCGGCCTTGATTCCATGATAGGTACCGTAAATCTGGGAAAAATATGACTTTTCTGCCTACACCTGGGAGTGATCCTGGACAACAAGGAGTTTGTCACCCGGTCACAGCGAAGTCAGGTTTAGCCAACTATGCTAGCGAACCGGGCAGTTTCTCCTTCTACACCATTCTCTTCAGACCGTGATGATCTACTACGATGTTATTCTGTAAAGTATTTTTTTCTCCTTGCTGCACCATTCTCTTCAGATCATGATGTTCTGTTAAGATGTTATTCTGTAAAGTATTTTTTCTCCTTGCTGCACCATTCTCTTCAGATCATAATGTTCTGTTAAGATGTTATACTGTAAAGTATTTTTTCTCCTTGCTGCACCATTCTATTCAGATCATGATGTTCTGTTAAGATGTTATACTGTAAAGTATTTTTTCTCCTTGCTGCACCATTCTATTCAGATCATGATGTTCTGTTAAGATGTTATACTGTAAAGTATTTTTTCTCCTTGCTGCACCATTCTATTCAGATCATGATGTTCGGTTAAAATGTTATACTGTAAAGTAGTTTTTGCAACATCCTATAAAGGATATGCAACTAAATAAACCAGGGTGAAGTGGTCAAGTCATTTGCCTCGTATTCTGAAGGTCATGAGTTTATTTCCTGGCTGCACTGGGCAATTCACGAGTGCAATTTTCCCCCAAAGCCTGGAGATTGTTGTGGGAGCTATGAAGTTCGTGCTTTGTGCAACACTCTTTGCATGTAGCTAATCATTCTGCAGAGAGAGAAACTAAGCCATTTGGAATAAAACATGGTGAAGTGAAGTCAATTGTAACACTTGTTACCTTTAAAGAATTATCAGTTCTAAATCCAAATGGTTTTAGGTTATTAGTTATAAAATCTAACAATGAAATGATATTTTCAAACATAGTCATTTCAGTGTTTAAATAGTAGACGTAGTGATAGTAGAGCAGCAGTAGCAGTTTTTACCAAAATAATGTTTTGTTCAACCTTCAGAGTTATGATTTGAGTACACAGTGCTTATTTATTCTCAATACATACTTTTGCAATCAAAATCTGTTCTTGAATTTAAAGAAAATGAAAATAATGACCACAGATAAAACTTGCTGCCACCCAAAAATAACAATAAATGATGAAGAAATTGAAAATGTCACAAACTTTGAATATCTAGGTTCTAAAAAAATAGCAATGGTAACTTTTTGGCAGAAATTGTTTGTTGTTTGTTTGTTTTAGTATCCAGAAGCCATGAGTTGTTAACCCTTAGGCTCAGTATTATGGCTATCACAACCTTTTGGCCTTGATTCCATTGTAAATACCGTAAATCTTGGAGAAAATGTGACTTTTCTGCCTACCCCCGGGATTGAACCCGGACCACAAGGAGTTTGTCACCCGGTCTCCACGCAATCCGGTTTAGCCAACTATGCTAGAGAGCCGGGCTTGACAGAAATTAAAAGTAGGATGGTCACAGCAATGCAAATATTAAACAACCTAAAAAGTCTTTGGTTAAGTACCAGCAAGAAGATCAAAATTAGAATTTTGGGAGCACGCATCTTCCCTGTTGCTACATACGAATGTGAGTCGTGGACTATCTCCCAGTCCTTAAGAAAGAGAATAGAGGCTTTTGAACTGAAATGCTATAGAAAGATTCTCAGAATATCTTGGACAAAGAAGAGGAGAAATACTGACATTTTGAAAGATCTGAACATCAAGGAAGATTGGCCAATAAACAGCATCCTATCTTGGAAGCTGAAATATTTTAGTCATATCAAGCACCACGACGGATTGAAAAATATTATAGCAGAAGGCGTGGTACCAGGAAGGAGGGACAGGGGCTGACCGACCCGAAGATGGGCACAGGATATAAGTGACTCCTTGAGTAGGAAAGTACATGAGGTAGGAGAGCTGGCGAGAGACCGAGTTTCTTTCAGGCAGACCATGATGAGAGCGACGTTCTGCAAAGGACCTGTTACCTGATGATGATGATGATATACTTTTGCTATGTAACATATTTTGTAATCATTTCTCATACTCATTTTTGTCATTTGTACTATTTTTGTTAGAAATATTATCTTGTTTGTAACTTTCTGCAGCTTCAAAATATTATAAATAATGAAAGAAAGGGCAATTAAAAATTGTGATGGGTGACTTGAATGCTAAGATAAGATCAGACAACACAGGTTATGAAGAAATTATGGGGAGACATGGTCTAGGAATAATGAATGAAAATGGAGAATTGTTCACAAATTTTTGTGCAGGTAACCAGTATGTTATTGGTGGAAGTATTTTTCCCCATAAAAGAATACACAAGGCAACATGGGAATCACCAGACCATAAGACAACTAATCAAATTGACCACATATGTATTAACAAAAAGTTTAGATCATCCCTTTACGATGTTAGGGCTTTCAGAGGTGCCGATGTATTTACTGACCATTTCCTGGTGATAAGTAAAATCAAGTTGAAACTAAAAAGATATATAACATCTTATAATCATAGAAACCAATATAATGTAGGCTTTCTCAGAGATAAAGAAATTAAGGAACAGTTCTCAGTTACGGTCTCTAATAAGTACCAGGTGTTGCAGCAGTTAGCTGAAGATGTCAGCACAGAAGTCTGCTGGGATCAGATCAAAGGAATCTGGAATTAATCTTGCGTAGAAGTTCTTGGCAAGAAAGAAAGGAAACATAAAGCATGGATAACACCAGAAACCATTAAACTGATTGAAGATAGGAAAAGTAAAAAGGCAGAATTAAACAATAGCAAAACTAGAGCTGCTAAAGCTAGAGCTCAACAAGGAAGTTAGGAGGCATATAAGGGCAGATAAAGTGAAATATCTAAATGATCTAGCACAAGAAGTGGAGACAGCAGCAGCAAAAGGAAACCTCAGAGAACTTTACAGTAACACAAGAAAATTAGTAGGTAAATATAGTCAGCCAACTGGATCAATCAAAAATAGTCAAGGAAAGGTACTTACTAACACTAAAGATCAAATGGACAGATGGGTTGAATATTTTGAAATGCTTCTAAATATACCAGGCCCAGAGGTTCCCCCAGATATCCAGCCTTTAGAAATGGAACTGGATATCAACTGTGAGATACCATCCAAAGAGGAAATTAGAAAAGCTATAAATCTTCTTAAGGAAGGAAATGCGTCAGGCCCAGATGGTATCCCAGCTGAAGCCATCAGGACCAACATAAACACATCAACAGAATTGCTACATAGATTATTCAGTAAAGTCTGGGAGAACCGAAGAAATACCAGCAGACTGGAGAGAAGGATATCTTGTGAAACTGCCCAAAAAAATTGATCTACAGGAGTGTGAAAACTATAGAGGAATTATGTTGCTGTCAGTTCCTGGAAAAATACTAAGTAGAATTATTTTGGAAAGATTAAAAGATGCTATTGATAAAATGCTAAGAGATGAGCAGGCAGGTTTTCGGTCAAACAGATCCTGTACTGATCAGATAGCCACATTACGTATTATAATAGAGCAAAGCATTGAACTGAACTCACCACTTTACATTGGATTTATAGACTATGAAAAAGCATTTGACAGCATTGATAGGGAATCTCTCTGGAAATTGATGGGGCACTATGGAATCCCACAGAAAATTATCAACTTAGTAAAGGCAACATATAAAGACATGAAATATCGAGTTCTTCATGAGGGAAAGCTAACAGATACATTTGAAATAAAAACAGGTGTGCGACAGGGATGTCTTTTGTCGCCTCTCCTATTTTTACTGGCTATAGACTGGACTATGAAAACAGTAACTGCTAACACCAAGAATGGAATTCAGTGGACCCCTACAAAACAGCTTGATGATCTGGACTTCGCTGATGATATTGCCCTTCTGTCCCATTCACAGAATCAGATACAAGATAAATTAAATATACTTAATGCGAGATCACAGCAGCTTGGTCTGAAAATCCATAAAGGAAAGACAAAGATAATGAGAATAAATCAGGCAAATAGTAATGTGGTTTCTCTTAATGGCACCCCACTCCAAGACGTGAAGTCGTACACCTATTTGGGCAGTAATGTAGATAAAGATGGAGGAACTGATAGAGATATTAAAATAAGAATACAAAAGGCAAGAGGGGCTTTCATAGCACTAGGGAATTTGTGGAGGTCAAAAGAAATTAAAAGAAATACTAAACTAAAAATTTTTAATTTTAATGTCAAATCAGTACTATTGTATGGGGCGGAAACATGGAGAACAACAAAGGCAATTACTAATAAATTACAGACATTCATTAACTGGTGCCTGCGCAGAATAGAGGGAATAAAATGGTATGATAGAATAACTAATGTAGAACTTTGGGAGAGAACTAAACAGGCTCCAATGGATCAGGAGGTGAGGAAAAGACGCTGGCGTTGGATAGGGCACACACTGAGAAAACATGAGAACAGCATAACTAGAATGTCTTTGCATTGGAACCCACAGGGGCATAGGAATAAAGGAAGGCCAAAAAACACATGGAGAAGAGAGCTGGAAAATGAGGTTAGAAAGATTGGGAGGACATGGGGAGAGCTCCATGTAATGGCGAAGGATAGAACGACTTGGCATGAGTTGTTTGAGGGCCTATGCTCCATTGGGGGATAGAAAGGCAGAAGAAGAAGAAGAAGAAGAACCTTCTGGGTTATAATCAAGAGAAATAATCTATTACGAATATTTCAAAAATACTAGGTTGTGTTTTGAAACAGTAGATTCTTTAACTCTTAACAGAAGACAACTTCATCAGAGGACAGAGCACATGTGGGAATGCCCCAAGTGCACTGATGTCAGTTCTTCATTAATTAAATAATTCATTTATTAGTACTGAATGTCAGAGTGCTAATAATACTGAACATTACATATTGAATTGAACACACTATTAATGCCAAAGAGCACCCTTAAATAAATACATGGCCTACTGCAAACATCGGTACTTGAACCTGGGATGTTAAGTCCCTTGAATCCTCTCAACCCCCCCCCCCCCCCCACCCCCTTTTGCCCCCTAGCTACAGAAAAATTTGTTTAAAAAAAAGGAAAGGTTTGGGGGGAAGGGGTGGGGAGGGTTTAGTCTGAGCTCCATAGAAAATTTGTAAGAGAGCTAAGCAGGCACCAGTCATGAATAAAAGTTTTCATTGTTTTTGTTTATCATACTGTGCAATGCTGGTAAGCATAGGCTGTCATGTTTCACTATCTCACACAATCACCAGAACCATAGATCAGTTCAATGTTCTTGTCTAGCCCACCCATGTGGCTAAGCCATCCAGGTATTCGCCTCTTTGCCTTTATCTTGAGTTCCAATTCTGATAGCACCAGTATCAGTTTGACTGTTTATCTGTCTCACCTTTCATTTGAGTGTTGATCATTGGCCAGATCCCCTGGTCACTCCTCGCAGCACTGTTCTTCTCAGATCGTGATGATCCATCTTCCTTCCGCACAGTTCACATTCCCCCCCCCCCCCCCCCCCAAAGGGCTCTTGCAAAATATAGCTTGTCATACATAATTCAACACGCTGTGCAAAACCAGTAATTCTATCTGTCTGTTAATTTTCTAATACCCCAGCATATCCTGAAGAAAAAATCCAAGGGACTTCTGAATTGATGTTCGCCTCTCTTTACGGAGAATACCGGTCTCCACCTCTCTCAGTACATTCTTGGTGAGTTGGTTACAATTATTACATGTGTGGGGTCTCCTTCAAACTTCTACCCCCGTGTTATGGCGGCCTGAAATATCCGTTCGGGGCTCAGTTCTATTAAAAATATGCAGGCTCCGTATAACGAAACAAATGCTCTAAGAGGATCTCAGCAATATGTTACTTGCGGACCTGTTTCTTATTGTTTCTGATTACCTGACAATTCTAAAAGACTCAACAAGGAACAAATATGTAAAATGGGAACTTGTCAAACTTTCAGCCTATGAACAAATCGCTGCAAATCTAGGATCGGCTCGGAAAAACGAAACAAATGCTTTAACAGGATCTCAGCAATATGTTACTTGCGGACCTCTTTCTGTGACTATGCCTCACCGCCAACATATCCCCAGCGCCGCTACGCTAGGGGCTAAACTAGATGGCTGGGACTCACGAGCAGCAACTACCGCATCTCCTGCAACTTCCTTCAATTACTTTGCTCGTGAGTCCCAGGCACCTAGTTTAACCTCCCATCCGCGCCGTGCTTAGCGGCATGGGGGATACGTTCGGTGGTGAGTTTAAACGCGTTTTGCGTATGCCGACAAGTCTGACATCTACCGCTGCTAAATCCTCAATCGGAGAACAGTATTGCTAATCTGCGTGGGAGCACGTGGTCCACCCGCCATATTGCTTTCATCGTCTGTAATGTCAGTAATGACTCAAAATTGTCAATGGTCGCTTTTATCGTCTGCTACTATCGTCTGCAATGTTGCTGTCTCTTGAAATTGTCAAGTAATCCTAGTTTTGCCGCGATTTGTTCTTTGGCAGAAAGTCCGCATTTTTCATTAGACTGAGCCCCGAACGGATATTTCAGGCCGCCATAATACGGGGGTAGAAGTTCGGAGGAGAGCCCATGTGTGTTATACCGACTGATATCTGTTGACTAAACTAATATGATTAGGATAATACCGCCCACCTGACTTCCTAAGAGAATTATGCTATCCTTTTATTGCTTCTTTTGAAGTAAGAGTACTTTTACCGACTGTACCCGTGCACAGTCAGTTAAGACTTTACTAAAGTAAACCACGGTGCTTAGGGCTTAGCTTAAGTTAGCTCAACTCTTAACTACTCAACTGATTGAGCACAATGTCAATATAAATATACATAACATTGCATGCTAATTACTGATGATCAAAGCTAGATCAAATAGCGGAGTAATTTAAAGTGCATACCCTAATTAAAGGATAGGTATGAACACGCTTCGAATCGGCGTCGGCTTTTTTCTCTTCTGCAACTTCAGCCATCTCTTTGTAGGTTAATTCAAGAAATATTTCCAGCGGTTGTTTACAATCACAACCTAAAGGTTACTAAGTCGTTTGCGCATGCGCTGCCGCAGCTGTAGTACACTTCCTTCATCGTCATCATCAATTTCAACATTTGTCTTCAGGCGCCGAAAGGATAAATTAGTGGTTCTTTTTTTTCTTTCTTCTTCTTCTTCTTCTTCTTCTTCTTCTTCTTCTTCTACTTCTTCTTCTTCTTCTACTTCTTCTTCTTCTTCTTTTTCTTCTTCTTCTTCTTCTTCTTCTTCTTCTTCTTCTTCTTCTTCTTCTTCTTCTTCTTCTTCTTCTTCTTCTTTTTCTTCTTCTTCTTCTTCCGCGCTTCTCTTAGAAGAGCGATTAGGATGCGATTTGCAGCTTGGATGCAATATCTGTCCGTTTTCCGTCCGACATCATCATCATCATCATGTAGCAGGTCCTTTGCAGAACGTCGCTCTCATCGTGGTCTGCCTGAAAAAAATCTCAGTCTCTCACCAGCTCTCCTACCTCATGTACTTTCACACCCAAGGACTCACCTATATCCTGTTCCCATCTTCGTGTCGGTCAGCCCCTGCCCCTCCTTCCTGGTACCCTGCCTTCTGCTATTATTTTGTCCAATCCGTTGTGGCGCTTGATATGACCAAAATATTTCAGCTTTCGAGAAAGGATGCTGTTTATTAGCCAATCTTCCTTGATGTTCAGATCTTTTAAGATGTCAATATTCCTCATCTTCTTTATCCAAGATATTCTGAGAATCTTTCTATAGCATTTCAGCTCAAAAGCCCCAATTCTCTTTCTTAAGGACTGAGAGATAGTCCACGACTCACATCCGTAAGTAGCGACAGGAAAGATGCATGCTTTCAAAATTCTAATTTTGATCTCCTTGCTGATGCTTAACTATAGACTTTTAAGGCTGTTCGATCTTTGCATTGCTATTCCGTCCGACACATTCGATTTTAACAATGCCTTAGTTAGTAGCTTTTTACGACATTAGTGAACAGTGGGCCTATTCTCTCTCTCTCTCTCTCTCTCTCTCTCTCTCTCTCTCTCTCTCTCTCTGTGTGTGTGTGTGTGTGTGTGTGTGTGTGTGTGTGTGTCGCTCCCCCTCCTCCCTATCCCCCCCCAAAAAAAATTGGGCCTATGGAATCCACAAGGGGAAGTAGTCTATGTGCATGTACAATGCCTTCAATGTTAGATACAATTATAACAAACCTTCAACACCAAAGTTTTGGTTTTAACAACCCGCGTTTGGGAGGGGACAAAGTGGGGGGGGGGGGGGGTGGCTGGGGGAGGGGGGCGTTAGAGTATTAGAAGCATACATGTCCTTCATGACTAATCTAAAAGAAGTCCTGCTGTTCAACCTCAATAAGTACATCCCTGCACCAAGATGGTTTTCGCTGGCTTGAGGAATGAGCAATAAAGAGTAGACTTTATAGCTTACTTAGAGCAGGCCACCAAAAAGTGAATCTCTCAAAAGAAAATTTAGAATGTGTACATTACTTTTGATTTTGGAGTGGTTGTAAAAGAATTATTGTACCGGTATTAAAAAACATTGAATGCTGTTGATTGAATGTTGGATAGGCTTTCATTTCATGTACATCAGAATTTTGTATTTATTTAAGTTTTGATTTATACGCTCGTTAGAATTCAATTTGACCCACAATTTTTATAGCCATTAATCCGCCTAATGGATATGTGTGAGCAAATTAGTACTTGGGCATCGCTCTACATGCCAGACTTAGTTATTTGTTTAGTTACTACCTGTACTTTTGAGTATACTTATTCAGCTTCACAATTTTTACACAAGAATAAATTAAAATTAAAACAATCAAAGATTCGACACCGTACCTTGATGCCGTGATGCTAGACTATCTTCTCTCTCGCATACCCACTTCCTCCTTCTCAACACATCTTCTACAATTTTCTTTTCGTCAGGACGTGACATAATCCCCCCCCCTCTCTCTCTCTCTCTCTCTCTCTCTCTCTCTCTCTCTCTCTCTCTCTCTCTCTCTCTCTCTCTCTGACACACACTCTGACACACACACACGCACACACACACACATGAAAGAGAGTTAAAATTGCTAAATGAGAGGGAAAGGGTCCCTGTCAAAGAAGGAAACAACTACTGAAGTGGCAAGAAAGGGTGGGGACTTTTAAAAAAAAAGATTGACAATTTAATTTGGTTCCTGAGTGTTCTGGAGTAACAAAATAAACACGGAAGATTGAAGGTCACGCCTCTGGATCTGCCAAAACTCGTAGACGAATCTCCCTCAGTCACGAGTCTACAGCACCAGTTTAACCTTTCTACTGCGCCGAGATGGATCAGTTAAATGAGTCACATATTCTATCATCCTCATAGTTATGACATACCATCGTGTTGGCGTGTGTTAAAATGGAAGAGCTGATTGGCTGGTCTCTGGGGGAACACCCAGTGAGACAGGATACTGTCTATAAATAATCGCCCGTTGCATGAAGAAACACAAATCAATGGCCAAATGCGTCTACGACTAATGGAATCAGTGATTTCAATTTTGTATTCACGGGCAAGGATCTGGCGGTTGCGTGAAAAATCAAGTGGTCACTGAAACGATGTTGGAGAAATACATTTATATTTAATAACACTCGTAGAAGTATAAAAGTACACAGAAATAAAAAAATTAAAAAAAAAAACAGATTAGATTAGTCATTCGGTTGACAATAAAAACTGAAAACTATAGTGATCAGACCAGAACTCTGTCCTTCGACTGTAAAGATTCTTCATTATCCTTGTTAATATCCATTACAATACACCTAAATGTCGGACGCAATTTTTGTTGTTGTTGCTGTTTTAAAGCCTCACCTTGGCTGTTGCCAGGGGTCCTAATAAACCCAGCCTATGAGTTGAACACGATTTCTGGGACCTGTCCCTGAGTGAATGGTGGCACTTGTGTCACCGGGTATTTATTGTTCGGTGCAATATCCTGGTGGGGTTGAACGTCGTCATCATCCTTGTCCTGTTGTGCCAACATAAGTCACAGAGACCTGGCAGGAAAAAGAATAGAATTTCACTATGGGGAATTTAGCTATGGCATACCAGCCACACACAAAAAAATACTCATTATTAGAAATTTATACGACGGTTCAGAATGTGCAGTGCGCACTGAACATGGTCTAAGTGACTGATTTTTAGTGAAACTGGAGTAAAACAAGGCTGCACCCCCTCCCCCCCCCCTTGTTGTTTAAAGTATCTATTGATTCGGTAATGGCAAAATGTTTCAAAGACAGTACTGATTTGTTAGAGAATAGACAACTTGAAGATCTGGATTTCGTAGATGATATTGTTCTGTTAAATAAAACTAATAAAGGCATGCAAAGGAAAGCAGACGATATGTCGTCTGCGGCATCAAAAATAGGACTACTAATAAGACAAAACAAATGTATTAAAGATACCAACAACAGATCTTGTAGTCATGCTTGAGAAGAAACCAATAAAAGCAAAAGACCATTTAAGCTGTTTGGGTATCAATTTAGACTCTCAAAGAGATACAACGAAGGAAATTATGAAATATATTGGCAATGCAGCAACAATCTTTAAAAGCCTTAACAAAATATGGAGCTCAAAGTTATACAGCTTTAAGACGAAACAACAATCTTTAAAAGCCTTGACAAAATATGGAGCTCAAAGTTATACAGCTTTAGGACCAAACAACAATCTTTAAAAGCCTTAACAAAATATGGAGCTCAAAGTTATACAGCTTTAGGACCAAACAACAGTCTTTAAAAGCCTTAACAAAATATGGAGCTCAAAGTTATACAGCTTTAGGACCAAACAACAATCTTTAAAAGCCTTAACAAAATATGGAGCTCAAAGTTATACAGCTTTAGGACCAAACAACAATCTTTAAAAGCCTTAACAAAATATGGAGCTCAAAGTTATACAGCTTTAGGACCAAACAACAATCTTTAAAAGCCTTAACAAAATATGGAGCTCAAAGTTATACAGCTTTAGGACCAAACAACAATCTTTAAAAGCCTTAACAAAATATGGAGCTCAAAGTTATACAGCTTTAGGACCAAACAACAATCTTTAAAAGCCTTAACAAAATATGGAGCTCAAAGTTATACAGCTTTAGGACCAAACAACAGTCTTTAAAAGCCTTAACAAAATATGGAGCTTAAAGTTATACAGCTTTAGGACCAAACAACAATCTTTAAAAGCCTTAACAAAATATGGAGCTCAAAGTTATACAGCTTTAGGACCAAACAACAATCTTTAAAAGCCTTAACAAAATATGGAGCTCAAAGTTATACAGCTTTAGGACCAAACAACAGTCTTTAAAAGCCTTAACAAAATATGGAGCTTAAAGTTATACAGCTTTAGGACCAAACAACAATCTTTAAAAGCCTTAACAAAATATGGAGCTCAAAGTTATACAGCTTTAGGACCAAACAACAATCTTTAAAAGCCTTAACAAAATATGGAGCTCAAAGTTATACAGCTTTAGGACCAAACAACAGTCTTTAAAAGCCTTAACAAAATATGGAGCTCAAAGTTATACAGCTTTAGGACCAAACAACAATCTTTAAAAGCCTTAACAAAATATGGAGCTCAAAGTTATACAGCTTTAGGACCAAACAACAATCTTTAAAAGCCTTAACAAAATATGGAGCTCAAAGTTATACAGCTTTAGGACCAAACAACAATCTTTAAAAGCCTTAACAAAATATGGAGCTCAAAGTTATACAGCTTTAGGACCAAACAACAATCTTTAAAAGCCTTAACAAAATATGGAGCTCAAAGTTATACAGCTTTAGGACCAAACAACAGTCTTTAAAAGCCTTAACAAAATATGGAGCTTAAAGTTATACAGCTTTAGGACCAAACAACAATCTTTAAAAGCCTTAACAAAATATGGAGCTCAAAGTTATACAGCTTTAGGACCAAACAACAATCTTTAAAAGCCTTAACAAAATATGGAGCTCAAAGTTATACAGCTTTAGGACCAAAC